ATATTTCCTCATATATGTACTAATCTGTGTCATGTCTATTCGAAAGAGGAATTGAGGCATACTTGCAATTATGTAAAATCATGTGATAACTCATGGTTTGCACAAAAGGCTTTGATATCCCTAAATTGATTGCTAGTGAACATCTAACACAGCAGGTCTATGACTAAGTGATCTGATAAAGTAAAAAATTATTCTGTATAGGCTACTCTATTCTATAGCCAAAAACCCTCAGCAAGAAAAATGTCTTAAGTTATTCTATTAGTTTGCTAGGGCCACATCACAAATGCCACACACTGGGTGGCTTAAACAACAGAAACTTATTTTTGTATAGTTCTTCAGCCCAAGACCAAGGTGTCAGTAATCTGTTTTTTTCTGAAGCCTCTCTTCTTGGCTTGCAGATAGATGGCTACCTTCCTGCTGTCTCCTCACATGGTCTCGGGTGCATGCGAATCCCCATTGTCTATCTGTCCAAATGTCCTCCTCTTATAAGGACACAAGTTAGATTGGATTAGGGCTGACCCTACGAGCCTCAATTTACTCATCACCTCTTTAAACCCACATTCAATCACATTTGGAGGTACTAAGGATTAGGGCTTCCACATATGGAGACAGAATTCAGTTCCTAGTAGAATATATTTTTGTGCTCCTTATTGACAATTCAATTAAAGCAATACCCTAACATGGCTATCTTCTCTAAATTGTTTTATTATAAATGTCCCCCCCCCACCATGTTCTTTCAAATTATTTCACTGTATTGACAGAAATGCACACAAATGTGTATTTTCAGAAAACTCTAATATCCTACAATTGGTTTGTAATATCAACTGAATTATTTATCTCACAAAATTATGAGGTTGTAACCTATGACTTCCATGACAGAATGGTTCCAACAAACACAATGCTATTTATGTTATTAAGTCTGTCGCACAATGAATATTTTTATGTATTTACAGTACACATGGAATGTGTAAAATGTGATTGAATTCATAATTAATCCTGAATATTCAAAATATATATCAAACTAATAAATTTAATTGGCATTTTTAGAAGTCTATAGTACAAGGAGGTCAATGGGAGCCTTCGAAAATGCTTTCTACTTATTATAGCAGATGAATTTGAAATTCCAAACACTAGGCATTTCCAGGTGGCTGCCACCTGGAAATGAAGTGTTCTAAGTGTTCACAGTAGGTGAATAAAAGATAAACATTTGGTATTTAGTAAGCCATTTATCATAAAATGCTGGAAAGTCACAAGGCTTTGGAATTGTAGATGTATTTGATTAGACAAATATTTGGGTCAGGGCAAGGAGTTACTAGCTAAAAATCAAACAAACAGTCTTAAAAGCAGAGAAGTCAATAAAATGAAGAGGACAAAAATCAAATACAAGACATCAAAGAATGCTCCTGAAAGCTAAACACATGGAAATGGAAAAAAGTGAAAAACATTAGAAGTGGGCAATCATTAAATCCACTCTGACAATTCACTGAAGGCTGCCCTTTCTCTAGAAGCTAATTCCATCTCCAAAAGCTCCAGCAACAGTCTCCAGGCTGGACTCCTAGACCTTAAATAAGGTCTAAGAATTTTCTGGAAAACGTATGTATTTATGCATACGGAAAGAGTAGAGCACGCTGAAACTTAGGGGAGGCTCCCAGGAACGACCAGGAAAAAGCACCAGAGGGAAGGTGACATTTACTCTAAGTTACTCGATAAAGGAAAGAGCTAGGCAACATCGTAGGCCACAGCTGCCACTTTCCACAAATTTAACTTAAAATCCACCACGCGGCTTTCAGTTGGCATGCTGAAAGCTGAAGAGAGGCAAGGTGAATGAGAAAAAGGAAATCAAAAGAAAAGGTACTAAAAAGGATTTTTTCAAGTAAATAACATTTGGGGAGAAGAAGTTAAGGCTGTAGGAATTAAGAGCCGTATTTTATGCATAGTGGGGCTCAGTATTAGGCTTATAACAATGGCAATACTTAGAAGTTGCATTGAACAGGAGGTGGAAGTGAAGGGTACTGAGAATCTAAGAGGAACCCGTGGAACAGGAGCCGGGTGCCAGTGAGGGAGCCTGGGTTCCACCAAGACACAGACGCTAAACCTTGGGCCAGCAGCAAGTGCACCGTTTCTGACACTGAGCAATCATACAACACAGGCTTATCAAATGAATAAGTGAGTTACAGACTGGACTTACATGGCATTTCTAGAATTTAGACTACCTAGGGAAGAAGACAGATATATGGCAGAGGTATGAGAACCCTAAGAGACAGGGCTGAACAAGGTGACACTATAAACTGACCTTGGTTTTACCTGAAAACACTCCCCCAACCCACAGAGTTTTGTCATATTTTCTACTCATTAATAAAATACCATTCCAATTTAATAATGAAGCAGGTTCTTGTGAAATAATCAATAGAACCTTCACAGATTAGAGTCCATTAAACTTCAACTGTTTAGATAAGAGACAATGTATTCAATCTTAAAAGTCCAGGAGGGGGGAAAAAAAAAGAAATATTGCAATGGTATATAGAAATACAATAATAACCCAAAATATTTTCAGTGAAATACAACAGAAAAGCTGTAAGCCATTATCTCTTAGAAAAGAAGCAGCCCTAATGAAGTAGATTTTTGAAAATTGTCATACGGGTAAGCTCATTAGTTGCAATGAAAGATCCCCCTGCTGATCCACGAGGACTTAATGGCCAGGATTTGTTATGTCTCAAAAACAAAGGTACTTTTTAATTCATGTGATAGCTCACTGAGGAGACTTCAAATATGGAAACTTTTAAGTGATGATATATAATATAAAATCACTGAAATTTTCCAAAGCAAATGTAGACTCATTTCATCCAAAACTCACGCTCATTCCTATAAATTCTCATTCATTAATAGAATAATATAATCACACAAAGAAATTATGCTCAACAATCACCTATACTACATAATATCTACATCCATATCTATATCGGGATCTATATATATATCTATCTCAGTGATGGTTTTTCTATTTCAAACATCAAGTTGGCTGCTCCCAGTGAAATGCATTCACACTGTCTGCTGACCTACACACATATGCACGCCTCCGCTCTAACAGATGGAAATGAGAAGCATCCAAGGCTCTAGAATGCCCCCACAGAAACACCAAAAAAGAAAACAAACAAAAGAATCTAATTACCGAGTTACAACTCTGTAAGCCCTTATCAAATTTAAATAGTTTTCAAAAGCAAAATATTAAAATATTTATAGAGAATTCCAAGTACAATCAAATGAGTCAAAATAGATAAATGCCATTTTAAAAACTTAATTTAGAGCAAAACTGGTAGAAAATAAACTCTGTCCTAAAAAGTACATCTGAAACAGAAGTATGTTCCAACTTACTGTTCAGTTTTAGAACCAGGAGGAAAGATGGGGAAGTGGTCAGACATGCAAACTGTTATTATCAGAACAGGCTTGCATGGATTCAATTCTTGCCAAAGACCTAACGTTGATATAATGTATCAACTACTCAGCTTTCTTTTCTCCAGAAAAAGAACTTTCTCTATACTTCAAGGCATTATGCATAACTTTTTCATCTATTTCTCTTCAACTTATCATGCTTACCATTCATCAAGAACATCCACTTTCACTTCTCTTTCAGCCTGTTTACTTACATTTTATTCCAAAATTTCAGAAATCTCATTTTAGAGAAATTACCTTCTTGAATTAATAAATCAACCACTTAGAGTTACTTTTAATATTTTTTTCCTCTGTGCCCTGTGGCCCTATCTCATTGTTTTATATGAGAAAATAATTTGATTATCTTCCCTTCTTAAATTCCATTTAAATGCATGCATATATACTTGGTCATTATCTTCTTATACCAAGGACATTCTAAGGTAGCACAAGGGCAAAGTAAGTAATTTCAGTATTGTTATATTCACATGCAAGATCAAAAAATAAAGTGAAAAGTTTATTTTGGGTCTTAAAAATCCAGACTAATTATTTCTAACCCCCTCCCACCCTCAAAAAGCTTGCATGAGATAGATACTTTAAAGAAACCTACATCTCAGGAAACTATTTAAAGGGAGTAGAAAATGATAAAACTGATTTTTGTTTGTTTGTTTAAGAAGAAGTATTTACTAAAATATAGGGGAAAAACAAGTATCCTTAAGTTGACAAATTCCAATTTTAAGAAGGGAATAAACTGATTACAAAAATAGTCTGACGTTTCTAATGACCAGGACTCAACACAGTGAGAATAACGATATCCCATCACTTCAAATGAGTTGTCTTCCAAAAAAGGATGTACGTATATGTATGTATTCATACAAATGTGTATTCATAAACTGGTTGTTGAAGCATGTAAAATGTTTTCCACAAAATCAATGATATATAAATAAAAACTAGATTCTTTAAGTGATCAAAAATTGCATTCAAATCATATTATAACCAACTATTAATACCAGGTCCTATCCTCTCATGACCCTTTGCAACCTGGTCTAAGTCCAGTAAGGACCAGAAGCAGGTTAGCTATCTGGGTATTAGAAAGGACTGCATGGAATTTTCTCTGCTAGGACAAAGTATGCAGTCTGTCCCTTCAATGTGGATAGAGATAGATTCAGAACTTAGGCTAACTGGGGCCACTGATTACTGGGGCTTGGCCCAGATACACAATTGTCCCCAAGTGAATGACACTGAACCAAGGAAGCATCTTAACAGCAACGGCGGGGGGGGGGGGGGGCCCAGCCGCGGGTGGGGCTGGTAGGAACTCATAAGGTTTAAACTACAAAATAATGTATTTTTTAATTCAGGCCTCATTTTCTAATATAAAACCATTAAACTCATAGTTCCAATAATGATAACTCATAAAATAAATGTCTTATGACATCTATTTTTAAAATGACATACTCAGTAGTAAATCACTGTGGCAAAGTAGCAAGTATATTCAAATAAAAGGCACTATGTTCGGTCTTTGCGTACCAACTGAAGACCCAAAGCAGTGAAATGTTTTCTATAAAATCACAAACCTTTACTAGCTTTGTCTAAATGTTCCAAATCATCCACAAAAGTCAGGATATCAGGGTACTTCTCTTCACAGATTTCCACCAGAAAATGAAGTAGTGTTGTTTTCTGATCTGCGGATTTCGTGTCCTTTAGCTAAATAGGATGAGAGGGAGAAAAAAACAGTAAAAAATATTTTGATATTCTGCCTATTTATATTACATTAATACTACATTTTATAGGTAAAAGCTAAGTCAGTTGTAAAATTAGTTAATCCTGTTTTTGAATTGCAAAGGTTTAAATACTTGAAAGCTACATTTTATGAATTGGTTTAAGTAACGTCATTAACGTTTGTTGGAAAGAAAGTATAAGTTTAATCTATTATGCAATTTATTATGCAGCAAATGTATGATAAATACTTAGGACAGCAGTGTAACCTGAAAGTCTATATAATAGTAGTACTTAAAACAACCCCAGGCGTTAGTTTCTTTGTTTTAATTTGGCACATATTTATGGAATGCCTACTAGATACTGCAGGAGTTGGAGATACAAAGATACAATAACAAAAAAGACACAGAGTTCCTCAAGAAGCTGTTTACTGGGGGGGGGGGTGGAATACATACATACCTACATACATACACATACACATACACACACACACACACACACACACACACACACACACACACACACATTTACCCTGGTGTGACAAAGAGTACACTAAGAATAATCACAAAGTATGCCTAAGAGGACAGGACATCTGAACTGAACACTGGTAGACAGGAAGTTGTATGGGATTAGGAAGGGAGGAAGAAAATTCAAAAGTGCAGTATCACAAGCAGATGGAACAGCATTTTAAAAAGGCCATAGATGAAGAAGAAAATGACACATTTGAGGAGTCTGAATGACTCCAAAATAAAAGTGTGTGTTGAGGAGGATGATAGCGTACAAAGATATAAATCTGGGAAGATCAGAAAAGACCAGAAAACAGGAGGAAATGTATGCCATGCAAAGGAAAGAAGATTTTGATCCTTAAGAATTGGGGGGGGGGGTATTTTTTAATTAATTAACTTATTTTTAATCTTTATTTAATTTTGAGAGAGAGCACAAGCACAAGAGGGGAGGGGCAGAGAGAAAAGAAGACAGAATCTGAAGCAGGCTCCAGGCTCCTAGCTGTCAGCACGGAGCCTGATGCAGGGCTCCAACCCACGAACCATGAGATCAATTTGGAACCTGAGCTGAATTTGGATGCTTAACCAACTGAGCCACCCAGGCGCCCCAGAATTGGGAGTTTTTAAATTGGGTAAGAGATGACCAGACCTGCAGTTAGAAAGTTCCCTCTAGTGCAGTGTGGATGAAAGACGAAAAGCAAAGGTAAGAACAGAAGCAGGATGAATAACTTTAAAATGCTGTAACAATAATTCAGTCAGGGAAAGAAGGCCTGAGCAGAGGCAGTGCCTTGGGGATGGAGATAACAGGATGGAGGGGGCATGGAAACCCAGGCGGTGCCATTAATTGGAATAAGTGGAAAGACAAACAAATTTAGGTGGGGTGGGCAAAGAGAGACCAGTTTCAGTTTTGGCCAGGTTGAGTTTAAAGCTTTTAAGTGACATCCAAGTAAAAATGCCCAACAAGGATGTAGACTGATACAGGTGTAAAACAATGCTTCTCAACCTTTTTTTGTCGTTCATTATTGCTGACTAAGGAGCATCTTTAGGCATTTTTTCTTAATTGCGTGCACTTACGAAATTTTTAAATCATCGGTATACTGGGTAACTGTTTATGTACTGCATGTACATCTATGCTTTGCGCATAAAAACAGCAAGATACTTTTGCTCCCAAAGAACCAATTTTCTCTCCCTCGAGGGTGGGTAAACTCTTGAGCATGTCTGACTAGATAGAACTCAGAGGAACATACTGGACTAGGTCACCAGTTTGTGAGCCCTCAGCCCCCAAAGCTAAACAGTTGATCAAATGAATGCAAACCAGTACACAGAATGAAAGGAAGCTGGACAGAGGCTTGAAGAGAAGACTAGAGTAGACAATTCTAATCTGAAATGGCCAAGGCATGCAACCAGAAGGGAGAAGTAATGATGCGAAAAACATAAAAAATAAATGGAAGCCAGCTCAGGTTTTGTGTAGTAACTGGGGATGGGGGTGTTGAGGGTGAATAGAAAGCAAACATGTCATCAGGTGGTGTTCCCTATAATTGAGTAATTATTCAGAGCAGATACATACAAAAGGGGGAAAGTCATTTCTTTTGTACAAAGAGTTCATTTGGAGCTGGAAATTCTTAGTATACCTAGTTGTGGACAGCCCTGTTTCCTTGCTTCCTTTCCAACAGTTCAAATGGGGGTGGGTGTGTATGTAATTTTTTTTAAACTCTACATCACTAAATATCATATCATTATCAGACAAGTATCAAACAACTGTTAATATCTGATAGTGGAATTAGGAGAGATAAACTCTACCATCACAAATGTTCAAACACATTACTTATTAGTACAAAAATATCTTATTCCTGGAAATACAGAGCTACCCTCCCACACAACCTGAGTTTCATGATTACTCATGTGATAGATTTAAATGCTACACTGGCCTTTCAACATGCAAATCAAAAGTATGATTCCTTAAGTATGGCACCTTAAAAACTGACTGATAGGACACAATCCATTATTTGATACCTTTTTTAAAAGGAACATAAACCACAACATCCGAGTGTTTCAAAAAGCATACCTCAAAAAAGGACTTGGCTAACTAGCTAGATTAATTGCCACTAACACGTGTGGATGACCTGGTAATGCTAAACAGTGCCTTTAACTAGTTACATGGTCACTGGCAAGTTACTAGAGTTCAGTTTTCACACAGATAAAATAAGAATATGGGACTGGACAGAAAAAAGAGACTCCAAATTCGCTTTCTACTCCAAAAATATTAAGTATACATTATAGCAGACTCAAGTGTTGATAGACATAACGAAATCTAATTTTAAAAATACTAAAATAGGGGCGCCTGGGTGGCTCAGTCGGTTAAGCATCCGACTCTTGATTTCGACGCAGGTCATGATCTCATGGTTCCTAAGATTGAGCCCTCTGTTGGGCTCTATGCTGACACTGTGCACAGCCTGCTTGGGATTCTCTCTCTTCTTCCGTCTCTGCCCTCCTTCCCCCTCGTTCTTTCTCTCTCAAAATAAATAAACTTAAAAAAAAATACTAGAATAAAAATGAATTAAAGTAGTTGTAATCTCAGTTCACAAGTTATTTTTGCATGCTAACGGCCGTTAGAATCTTTCAGTTTGTTTTCACATATACTGAGAATGCCAATCGGATTTATTAAATTACCTTTCAATCCGTAATTTCCTTCACACTACCATGGTTAATGGATAAGGCCAGAGTAAAAGTAGCAAAGTTTCATAAATAATTTTTCTCTTGTACAACCAAGACTTAGCATAAAAGCTGTCTTTTGTTTTTGTTTTTTAAAACACCTTAATAATAAACTCTTCTCTCCCCCTCCCCCCTGGCAGCAATGACTGCCTTGGGAATAGCATCCCTCCTGTGGACTCTCAGCTCCCCACTGCTGCCGGTTACACCCCTCCCCTTCAACCATGTTCCTTTCCTGTGAAACTAGATACACGACCTGTGTAGAATGTTGATTAGCACAAGCACCATCTACCTCTGTAATTTGCAAAGCCCTCAAAGAGCTTTCCAGTAAGTACTAGGTATGATGCAACTAAATAGCCAGCCACCGCTAGGATTAAATGTATGAAGAAATCTCTGTGATCTAACAACAACCAATGAGATCAATCTCGATCTTTATTCATGAGCAATAAAAATTCAGAATTAGAATTCTAGAATATAGTTTATAGCATCTACCAGTTTAGTAAATGTTAAGTATACAAGTCAAACAAAAATTCGAGTTGTTCAGAGACCATCACAGAGCTAGACAGTAATTTATGGGGCAGAGTGTTATTCTGGCTATATTACTGAAAACATCAACTGCTTAGCAGGTAGCGTATTGGCAACAGTCTAATATTCAAAAGTATGTCCACTGAATAGTAAATGGAAGCAAAATTCTCCCATCCTTTTAGAATCTGTATTTAACATTCGTAAGACCAAAAAAATAAAATAAAATTCCCAAGTAAATAAATTTGAAATTAAACCTAATAAATGATAAGTTTAGATAAGAAACAAGGATGGCAACTGTTTGTTGATAACATATGGTGTCTCATTTACAAACTGCTATGTGGCTTTAAATTCCAGGGTAGAGAATCTTCATTCAGGTCCTAACATTCTCAGGAAAAAGTACACAAAGTTATTCTTCCTGCATCAATTACTCTATTCCCTCCTCTACTTCTCCCCCATGTCACTTTATAAAAAAGGATAAAAAAAGGACACCTCCCAGAAGCATAAATGCACAAAATATTTATCAAAGTCTTTTTACAAACTTGCTCAATTTTTTTTTCACTTTTTGATAAACATGAACAAAAGGGGCACATTTTATTTCCACTAATTACTCTTATCATATATAATCAGCAATTCAACTAGAAGAATAAGGAAAGCTGGGGGGATGGTGCTAATTTTGTTGGAGAGAAAGAACAGTTCACTTGAGCACACTTTGTAACGCTAACTCTTGGAAAGAAAATGAAGCTAAAATATTTGCTTTAAAAATTCATTTAGGTTTAAAAACTATGCTTTATTTAAATTTTAACAGACGTTGCTTGACAGGCTTCCTTTTGTTTTATTGCCAAGAGATGTATCTTGCTGATGAGTAATCATCACTGTTAAGTAGAATTTCTTATTTGTATATTGTTTCTTTGAGGTACATTTAATGCAGCATGGATGTCAAATAAACACAAAGATGGATGGAGTTTCTTCAACTGCTCTGTTCATTTCAGACAAAATAACGTTAAAAGAAGATCCTGTAATAAATCATGGCCTACTTGTCACTCTGGAGTAGAATTCCTTTGTAGCTATAATGCAGTGTTTTGGAATATTTTTAAGCCATTCAGCACAAATTCGGATGATATTTAAAGAATATTCCATTGTTTTAATCACAAGAAAAATTCCTAAAATAAAAACTGAGTCTCCTTTTGGTGATCCTCAGAATCCAAAGGTCCCACACTCTTTGACTAATGATACTTAAATCATAAGAGTATT